AATTGCAAAGCTCAGAAATAAAAACAAGTTAATAAAAAGTCTAGTGACAATTTAAGCGCAATTTCCTTATGTGATCCACAACAATTTTAAATCGAGCTAAATCATATATTCAGCAAATAAATAATGCAACACAAGTAGTTTTAATAATTCAAAACAAAATAGAACAAATATTTATTAACGAGATTTAAAAAATATGCGGACGTATAGGGGGTATTTAGTTGTCGCGCTCTCTATATTGCTATATAGTACTGTAGAGTATTATGTATAATGTAATTTTTTTTTTAAATTTGTGACAGAACGAAAGGATATTTTTGAAAACTTTCTTCGGCAATATTGTTCTAAATTATGGCAGGAATCGATTGGTAAATGTTTGAAGTCGCTAAGTGGTCTGGTTGCCGAGATATGGGCCAAAAACTACATTTTTTCGAGGTTTTTTGGCTTTTCCGGGAAATCCAGGAAGGAATTCCGGGAATTTTTTTGGCCCACAATCATCCTCGGAACTTGCTTAACATATTTGCTTTGGAACTAGTCCTCGATATTGCTTCGTTGAGGAGGAGATACGGCTTAAAGCTGCGGTAAAGCTGCGGACACACATCCAGAAATGACGAATTAATAATCGCAATTCCAGTATGGAAATTGCGCTAAAAATTAGTTTTGACGTAATTAATTTGAATCTGACATTACGCAACTGAGTTTGTTTGTCCATAGTGTTTTTATATTCGTGACTTGTATAAAGTACAAGATTGAGGTGGGTTTTTTAAAGGCGGAATTTTCTAGTTGTTTTGATATTTATTTAATTCCACGTTGAGTTTCAAAAGTTTTAAAACGTTTTCGAGATTTGTAATCCCATCTTACGAATACAATAATGAAAGAGATTTTAAAATAAAGTTAGATATTAATGTTTATAGTATCATTTCTAAAATTGTATACTGGTGCATCTCATCTGTATGTTGGTGTTGATTGCTTTGTGTAACAAAAGTTTTTGTTGTTAGCTTAATGTATACACCATAGCATGTTATTCGCTGCATCAAACAAATGCCGACAACGTGTAGACGACATTTATTGCATTCTAATATTTTCATCCTATTTAAACTAACTGCGACAACACCGTTATTTTTTTTTAAACTTTTATAAAGGGCTTTCTCATTTAGTGAAACAAAAATGTTATAAAATTATGTTGATGTTAAATTTATCATAATCAACGCTCCTCTCTCTCTCTCTCTATGTATATATATATATATATATATATATATATATATATATATATATATATATATATATATATATATATATATATATATATATATATATGGTGATCAAACACCAGTTGATAGACCACCTGTGATCAAAGACCCTCTCCTGAAAAAACACCTGTGGTCAAACCCCCCATGGTCAAACCCCCTATGATCAAACCCCCTATGGTCAAAGCACCGCTATGGTCAAAGGTCCTAGGACCGCTGCTACCTACCTTAAAAGCATAGTTTTCTAAAGGAAATGAAAGAGGGAGACAAAGAGGGCGTGGGAAAGAGATAATGGTAGATGCATTTTGTGCATCGTATCATACTCGGTGTTATATAAGACATTAACAGTAGGACATTAAACCCCTATCAACTAAGGATATATATATATATATATATATATATATATATATATATATATATATATATATATATATATATATATATATATATATATATATACATTTTTTTTAGATGAAGATGGAGATGAATAGGAATAGCGATATGTATAGATGTAGTATGTATACCAAAGAGACCTCATATACCTAAATGTGGTGTATGTATTTATTTAGCTAATCTGTTCAAGTACTTATGATGATGTTGGTTGATGCTAGTGAAGGAGTGGACTTAAGAAGCGAATGACGTAAACATACACATCTTAATGTGGTGCCGCTGTTTCTCATGACGGCAGAGAAATAGTCTATCAATACACGTCATCGCTACTATTCGCTCTCTATGATTATCAACAGAAATAGATCTTATGAATACATTTCTTACCATTCGTGAAATTCTAAGAAAAAAGTTGGGCACAGTTGATATGTCTATCGAAAGTATTCAAAGTGAAAAGTTTCGAGGAAACGGAGCAAGAATTTCTGTTGGTAAAGCAAATATTAAACAAGATAGTGTTGTTCTGCATGAGCACGCAACAACCAATAGCCCATGTCCTACCACAGTAGACTGCCCATCTGTCCATGTCCTACCACAGTAGACTGTCCATGTCCTACCACAGTAGACTGTCCATGTCCTACCACAGTAGACTGTCCATGTCCTACCACAGTAGACTGTCCATCTGTCCATGTGCTACCACAGTAGACTGTCCATGTCCTACCACAGTAGACTGTCCATGTCCTACCACAGTAGACTGTCCATCTGTCCATGTCCTACCACAGTAGACTGTCCATCTGTCCATGTGCTACCACAGTAGACTGTCCATGTCCTACCACAGTAGACTGTCCATGTTCTACCACAGTAGACTGTCCATGTCCTACCACAGTAGACTGTCCATGTCCTACCACAGTAGACTGTCCATGTCCTACCACAGTAGACTGTCCATCTGTCCATGTCCTACCACAGTAGACTGTCCATCTGTCCATGTGCTACCACAGTAGACTGTCCATGTCCTACCACAGTAGACTGTCCATGTCCTACCACAGTAGACTGTCCATCTGTCCATGTCCTACCATAGTAGACTGGCAATGTCCTACCACAGTAGACTGGCAATGTCCTACCACAGTAGACTGTCTATGTCCTACCACAGTAGACTGTCCATGTCCTACCCCAGTAGACTGTCCATCTGTCCATGTGCTACCACAGTAGACTGTCCGTGTCCTACCACAGTAGACTGTCCATGTTCTACCACAGTAGACTGTCCATGTCCTACCACAGTAGACTGTCCATGTCCTACCACAGTAGACTGTCCATGTCCTACCACAGTAGACTGTCCATCTGTCCATGTCCTACCACAGTAGACTGTCCATCTGTCCATGTGCTACCACAGTAGACTGTCCATGTCCTACCACAGTAGACTGTCCATGTCCTACCACAGTAGACTGTCCATCTGTCCATGTCCTACCATAGTAGACTGGCAATGTCCTACCACAGTAGACTGGCAATGTCCTACTACAGTAGACTGTCTATGTCCTACCCCAGTAGACTGTCCATATCCTACCACAGTAGAGTGTCCATCTGTCCATGTCCTACCACAGTAGACTGTCCATGTCCTACCACAGTAGACTGTCCATGTCCTACCACAGTAGACTGGCAATGTCCTACCACAGTAGACTGGCAATGTCCTACCACAGTAGACTGTCTATGTCCTACCCCAGTAGACTGTCCATATCCTACCACAGTAGAGTGTCCATCTGTCCATGTCCTACCACAGTAGACTGTCCATGTCCTACCCCAGTAGACTGTCCATGTCCTACCACAGTAGACTGTCCATGTCCTACCACAGTAGACTGTCCATGTCCTACCACAGTAGACTGTCCATGACCTACCACAGTAGACTGTCCATGTCCTACCACAGTAGACTGTCCATCTGTCCATGTCCTACCACAGTAGACTGTCCATGTCCTACCACAGTAGACTGTCCATGTCCTACCACAGTAGACTGTCCATGTCCTACCACAGTAAACTGTCCGTGTCCTACCACAGTAGACTGTCCATCTGTCCATGTCCTACCACAGTAGACTGTCCGTGTCCTACCACAGTAGACTGTCCATCTGTCCATGTCCTACCACAGTAGACTGTCCATGTCCTACCACAGTGGACTGGCAATGTCCTACCACAGTAGACTGTCCATGTCCTACCACAGTGGACTGTTTACGTACTATCACAATAGGAATCTATAATAATTTTGTTCACATTGTGTACTCAACTTTTGATTTAAATATAAAAAAATTTAGCAGGGGGTAATTATCAAGAGGATAATTGACAGGGGGTAATAACTTGGGGGGGGGGTTCATGGCGGGGGAACATCCGGGGGGTAATTGACAGGGATAATGTTCTGCTCCCCACGTGAAAGAGCGCATGTCTTTGTACAAATGAGAGAATGTCTTTGTACAAATGAGAGAATGTCTTTGTACAAATGAGAGAATGTCTTTGTACAAATGAGAGAATGTCTTTGTACAAATGAGAGAATGTCTTTGTACAAATGAGAGAATATCTTTGTACAAATGAGAGAATGTCTTTGTACAAATGAGAGAATGTCTTTGTACAAATGAGAGAATGTCTTTGTACAAATGAGAGAATGTCTTTGTACAAATGAGAGAATGTCTTTGTACAAATGAGAGAATGTCTTTGTACAAATGAGAGAATGTCTTTGTACAAATGAGAGAATGTCTTTGTACAAATGAGAGAATGACTTTGTACAAATGAGAGAATGTCTTTGTACAAATGAGAGAATGACTTTGTACAAATGAGAGAATGTCTTTGTACAAATGAGAGAATGTCTTTGTACAAATGAGAGAATGTCTTTGTACAAATGAGAGAATGTCTTTGTACAAATGAGAGAATGTCTTTGTACAAATGAGAGAATGTCTTTGTACAAATGAGAGAATGTCTTTGTACAAATGAGAGAATGTCTTTGTACAAATGAGAGAATGTCTTTGTACAAATGAGAGAATGTCTTTGTACAAATGAGAGAATGTCTTTGTACAAATGAGAGAATGTCTTTGTACAAATGAGAGAATGTCTTTGTACAAATGAGAGAATGTCTTTGTACAAATGAGAGAATGTCTTTGTACAAATGAGAGAATGTCTTTGTACAAATGAGAGAATGTCTTTGTACAAAAAGCGCATGTCCTTGTACAAATGAGCGCCTCTTTATGCTAACCAACAGAATAACTCCACCCTTTCATCTGTCAGAACTACTAAGGCCCGTATTGTCCAATTTGAATTCAACGACAAACTGAACCAAATAATTTTTTTAATTAAATAAAATGGACGACAACATCTGGATGGCATAGAGGAAAGAATTCTTACCTGAGTTTGACGTGTGAAATAGTCCGCAGAAGCTTGACGAAACAGACGTGGATACTTCTAGAACTCTTGTCCACAAGCTTTCTTCTGTCGTTAGGAATCTGCTTGCTAGTTTGTCTTCTGCCGCTCTTAATGTTTACTCACTCTACAATCAACTGCTGGAGTTAGAAAAAAAAAGAATTTAAATTTTTAATTTCGAAGAACAAATAGGGTATTCACAGGGAATTACATTTAAAACTATTAAAATCTAAAATTCTAAAATTCTAAAATTTTCCTTCATAAAAAAGTCTAATATTATTTGTATGATAAAAGTCTCCTAGTTGCTATTCTGGGTGTTAGTTTTAAAAAAGAAGACGTTAACCAACGCGACCTAACCACGTTTGGGAAGGAAATCCACTGACCACTTTTACGTTCTAGTATGGGAACCTCGTGCTGCGTGTGTGGGAGTGTGGGGGAACGGGTGCGACATCGGGTGAGCGAGACTGGAACCGTTCTATGTCTACTCCAGCGGTGCCGCCCGCTCACGGAGACACGTGCGAGCGGGGATAGATGGGACTCCACACCCACCCCTCCACCTTTATATTTTATTATCTACAACTGCAACCAAGCCTCACTTCTCTGCTAGATATGGCTTCATCGTCCCCTGCTAGTTGTGACTCCCACGTCCTATGCTAGCTGTGACTCCCACGTCCACTGCTAGCTGTGACTCCCACGTCCCATGCTAGATTTGACTCCCACGTCCCATGCTAGCTGTGACTCCCACGTCCACTGCTAGCTGTGACTCCCACGTCCCATGCTAGATGTGACTCCCACGTCCCATGCTAGTTGTGACTCCCATGTCCCATGCTAGCTGTGACTTCAACGTCCCATGCTAGATTTGACTCCCACGTCCCATGCTACATGTATTCCCACCCCCATCCCATGCTAGATGTGACTCCTGTGTCCCCTGCTATCGGTGACTCCCCATCTCAGTGCTAGTATTGCTACCCTATCTTCTCACATGTACTTACCGCCTAGACCACGGGTTCCCAACCTGGGGGTCGCGAAGGTCTTTCTGGGGGGGGGGTCGCCAACTGGTATACTAAACCTTAGTAATTTGAAACAAAACATAAATATTTAGAAGAATGTTTTGAAATTCGGCTTCATTAACATCACTGGAAATGTAATAGAGAAGAAACAAAGCGCACTGTAAAAAGTTGTTCTCAGTCACGAATCTATGAAATCTTAAAAACTAAAACGTCATTTGAGACGAGTCATTCGGAACATACCAAAAAATATATGGAGTTCTTTCGTCATAAGAAGCTAGTTGCAAACGCCAGAGACTTGATCGAACAGGAATTTTTAACCAGCATTAGTGCAAGCATCAAATGAAGTCGCGATAGAAAATGCCAAGCAAAAAAAAACAATAGGAGAAAATCTCATCAAACGCTGCATGTACATAAATGTTAAATAACACATTTTTATTGAAATTAAGCTTTCACCATTGTTTGCTTTTCAAGATGATAAATCAACAGACGTGAGTTCGTGTTCGCAGTTGCTGGTCTGTGTCTATATTCATGCGGATGATAGCAAAGATAAAAGAGTAGCTCTTTTGTGAAGATAGTATGGAGAAAATAAATATCTATTTTGAAACTGGATGATTAAATTGGGTTAGAACGGCTGTGGGGGTTTGTACGGATGGTGCGCCATCTATGTTTAGCTCAAAATCGGGCTTTCAGAAAACAGAAAAGATTTAGCTCCCTAACCACTGCCCTAACCAATCGACATCAAGAGTCCATTGCTAGTATAAGTCGTAAATTATATAAAATCTGGAGCCTTCAAAGAACTGAGCAAAAACCTTAATATAGATCACGAGGTTCTGCTCTTCTACACTACAGTACGCTGGCTGTCAAAAGAAATGTAAATTGTGTTTTTGAATTGATATCTGAAATCAAATTGTTCTTGTGAGTGCAAAGGAAAAAAGACTTTTTGGTATACTTAAAACGACATAGAGCAGTTGGAGAGAGTATCTTACCTAGCAGATGTGTTCGAACATCAAGATAAGCTTAACCTGAAGATTCATGGAAAATGAACGAATATTATAACTTTCCATGATAATCTCGGGGCATTTTTATCAAAGCTGCAAAATCTGTAAAGAAAATAAATCTTGGAAACATTGTAAATTTGAGAAACTCTGCGGTGTGGTAGATGAATCTGATTGTGAGATAATTAAAATTTTGAAAGAAGCGATTTCTTGGCGTCTTGGATCTCTTGAAAACGAACTGCATCGCTATTTCTCTGAGCTGAAAAAAGAAGAATCTGCATTTACGCATTACCCATTCTCTTCTTCCTTGATGTTGCCAGCATTCCCGATGAATTACAAGATGAATTCTTTGATTTGCAGAATGATTCCGTGTAAGATGAAAAACTGCAGACACAATTTTGGTGTAGTATTCACCATTCATACCCAAAATTAAAATTGATTGACTTTTCGAGAATATATTTTCAACACTATTCTTCGATTAAAAATAAAATTAAGATAATTATAATGACATAGGTTGGCGTTAACAATTTTTTTTTAAAATTAAAAACTTAACCACGAAGGTTTAGTGAATAGTATGCAATTTTACTCATGCTATTAAAACAGTTATCAAGAGTAGTTCATATTGAAAGTCTACTAGAAAATCTTATTTTAGTGCTTATTGATTTCCATACTAATTTCGGCTTTTTAATTCTATGAGGGTCGCGGGTCACTTACTTTTTATAAATGGGGTTCGCCACTGGAAAAAGGTTGGGAACCACTGGCCTAGACCTATGTCTACACACACCGAAAAGACAGCGGGGGGCGTGTAGCTGTACATTACTACGGCAAAAGACGGCGTGGGGGGCGTGTAGCTGTACATTACTACGGCAAAAGACGGCGTGGGGGGCGTGTAGCTGTACATTACTACGGCAAAAGACAGCGGGGGGCGTGTAGCTGTACATTACTACGGCAAAAAACAGCGGGGGGCGTGTAGCTGTACATTACTACGGCAAAAGACGGCGTGGGGGGGCGTGTAGCTGTACATTACTACGGCAAAAGACAGCGGGGGGCGTGTAGCTGTACATTACTACGGCAAAAGACAGCGGGGGGGGGGGCGTGTAGCTGTACATTACTACGGCAAAAGACGGCGTGGGGGGCGTGTAGCTGTACATTACTACGGCAAAAGACAGCGGGGGGCGTGTAGCTGTACATTACTACGGCAAAAGACAGCGGGGGGGCGTGTAGCTGTACATTACTACGGCAAAAGACAACGTGGGGGCGTGTAGCTGTACATTACTACGGCAAAAGACGGCGTGGGGGGCGTGTAGCTGTACATTACTACGGCAAAAGACAGCGGGGGGCGTGTAGCTGTACATTACTACGGCAAAAGACAGCGGGGGGCGTGTAGCTGTACATTACTACGGCAAAAGACAACGTGGGGGGGGCGTGTAGCTGTACATTACTACGGCAAAAGACAACGTGGGGGGGGGCGTGTAGCTGTACATTACTACGGCAAAAGACGGCGTGGGGGGCGTGTAGCTGTACATTACTACGGCAAAAGACAGCGGGGGGCGTGTAGCTGTACATTACTACGGCAAAAGACAACGTGGGGGGCGTGTAGCTGTACATTACTACGGCAAAAGACAGCGGGGGGGCGTGTAGCTGTACATTACTACGGCAAAAGACAACGTGGGGGGGCGTGTAGCTGTACATTACTACGGCAAAAGACGGCGTGGGGGGCGTGTAGCTGTACATTACTACGGCAAAAGACAGCGGGGGGCGTGTAGCTGTACATTACTACGGCAAAAGACAGCGGGGGGCGTGTAGCTGTACATTACTACGGCAAAAGACAACGTGGGGGCGTGTAGCTGTACATTACAACGGCAAAAGAAGGCGTGGGGCGTGTAGCTGTACATTACTACGGCAAAAAACAGCGGGGGGCGTGTAGCTGTACATTACTACGGCAAAAGACGGCGTGGGGGGCGTGTAGCTGTACATTACTACGGCAAAAGACAGCGGGGGGCGTGTAGCTGTACATTACTACGGCAAAAGACAGCGGGGGGGGGGCGTGTAGCTGTACATTACTACGGCAAAAGACAACGTGGGGGCGTGTAGCTGTACATTACTACGGCAAAAGACGGCGTGGGGGCGTGTAGCTGTACATTACTACGGCAAAAGACAGCGGGGGGCGTGTAGCTGTACATTACTACGGCAAAAGACAACGTGGGGGGCGTGTAGCTGTACATTACTACGGCAAAAGACAGCGGGGGGGCGTGTAGCTGTACATTACTACGGCAAAAGACAACGTGGGGGGGGGCGTGTAGCTGTACATTACTACGGCAAAAGACGGCGTGGGGGGCGTGTAGCTGTACATTACTACGGCAAAAACAGCAGGGGGGCGTGTAGCTGTACATTACTACGGCAAAAGACGGCCTGGGGGCGTGTAGCTGTACATTACTACGGCAAAAAACAGCGGGGGGGGCGTGTAGCTGTACATTACTACGGCAAAAACAGCGTGGGGGCGTGTAGCTGTACATTACTACGGCAAAAACAACGTGGGGGGGCGTGTAGCTGTACATTACTACGGCAAAAGACGGCGTGGGGGGCGTGTAGCTGTACATTACTACGGCAAAAGACGGCGTGGGGTGTGTAGTTGTACATTACTACGGCAAAAGACGGCGTGGGGCGTGTAGCTGTACATTACTACGGCAAAAGACGGCGTGGGGTGTGTAGTTGTACATTACTACGGCAAAAGACGGCGTGGGGCGTGTAGCTGTACATTACTACGGCAAAAGACGGCGTGGGGCGTGTAGCTGTACATTACTACGGCAAAAGACGGCGTGGGGCGTGTAGCTGTACATTACTACGGCAAAAGACAACGTGGGGGGGGGGGGGGGCGTGTAGCTGTACATTACTACGGCAAAAGACAACGTGGGGGTGGGCGTGTAGCTGTACATTACTACGGCAAAAGACGGCGTGGGTGTTGCTGGTGCGCAGCAGTTCTCCAATATTTATAGAATTATTCTGCCGCGGGGGTGGAGTGAGTGGGGAGGGGGGGGGATAAAAACTGGCGTTCAATCAAATTGTGTATTATTAAATTATTATTCCAGTAGAAGCTATGTACTTATCAGTTTGGTAGCAAATTGTAATGTCATCTTAAATAGCGTCGAGTTTTTACATTAACTGTGTGTTGATATTTATTTTCGCGTAATTAAGGGGGAGGGAGGGGGCGTTGGGAGAGAACTGCAGAGTGTTTATAAAATGTCGACCAAGTTTTTTGCGATACCATATCGTTGGTACCAGTCGTTGGTGCTGTTGTGGCAGGTACATTGAGACAGTTTTTGTTTCAATTTGGTGGGAGTCTGACATGTGACATGTGACATACGACATGTGACATGGGCTAATGCTGGGCCATCCCAATATACAAATAGGTCGGCTAATGCTGGGCAATCTCAACATACAAACAGGTCGGCTAATGCTGGGCCATCCCAATATACAAATAGGTCG